ACACACGGAGTAGCTGTACAAATGAGAAGAAAATTCGGCAACCTGACACAGCTACGTAGTCTACAGAAAAGGTCACCGACGTGGCGTCATTAGAAATAGCAGGTAGATACATATTCTACCTCATTACTAAAGAAAAGTTTTGGCAGAAACCGACATGTGCAGATATTTTTCAAAGCCTTCAGAATCTCAAAAAAATTTGCCAAGAGCGGAAAATAACGCGACTTGCGTGTCCGTGCCTAGTGATTGATCGGGACGGAATCAAATGGGAAAACCATACAGACCATGCTATACTACATATTTCAAAATTGGGAGATAAAAATTATAACACCAGAACAGTTATCGAAAGATGACCAGTTACAGATTATTCGAGAATTCCACGAGACTCCCTTGGGGGGACATCAAGGAATAAATMGGACATTCCAACGAATATCACAGCAGCATCATTGGAAGGGAATGAGGCAGATGATCAAAACATATGTCCTTTCCTGTGAGACTTGCCAACGTAATAAAATTCCAAATCGATCAGTCAAAGAACCAATGGTTATAACCACCACATCTTCCAGACCATTTGAGAAAGTCTTCATGGATATTGTAGGACCATTTCCTCAATCTCATAAAGGAAATACATATGTTCATCTTAACTCTTCAAGATGAYCTTTCTAAATTCGCATGCGCAGTTCCTATGATGAATCATGAAGCAAACACTGTAGCATACCATTTTGTAACCCAATTTGTGTGCTTACATGGACTTCCAAAGAGTCTTGTCACCGACTGTGGAACAGAATTTCTGAGTCACGTATTTAAAGAAGTTTGTCAACTTCTTAAGATCAAACAAACTTCAACTACTCCATATCATTCTCAAAGTAATGTCTCTCTAGAGCGTAGCCACAGAACATTAGGGGACTACTTACGAAGTTTTGTCGACAAAGATCCTCAAAACTGGGACACTTATGTTCCGTTTGCGATGTTCTGTCACAACTCAACGGTACATACTGCAACCAAATTTCAACCATACCAATTAGTTTATGGAAATGAGATAACAGTTCCTCATTCGTTCACTCGAGACCCAGAACCTCRATACAATTATGAAGACTATCACTTTGAAATGAAGAAACAAATGCAGGAAGCTCATAAATTAGCGAGAGCAGAGCTATTGGAAAGYAAACACAAATCTAAAGAGCGTTATGATAAATCAATAGCACCTCTAAACCTTGTCGAAGGCGATAGAGTCCTGATACAAGACAAAGCCCGTTAAGGAAAATTAACACCAAAATRGTTAGGTCCTTACCCCATCGTCACGATACTTAAGAAAAACAAACCTGTGAAGGTACACCGGAACCTTTTAAAACAATTTCATGAAAGAGTCTAACTATGTTTCAGACTCAGCCTAATTTCAATAAGAAACACAGACACTTTACCCCATGGATTGGACTCCGATAATAATCACCGAGTRTTCAATTYAACTTCATACAAGAACCAACAAGGGATCTATTATGAGTCACARGGAGTAGCCAGATTATCACATGTTAGTTGGAAATTAGTAGTCTCCTTGGATGTACAATCACTAATTTCCAAATACAATGTCATCATGCACCACTATGAAGCAACYATGACCATCTGCAAAAATATGCAAAACAAATTTGGTAGCGTGGAAATTGAAGAGATTTGCTCTCTGTTTATACAACAATTTTCTAGAGCGACTTTGCCATATTTAAACGAGATCGATGCTAATCACAGAAGTCTAATGTTAGCGATTGGCAATGATGATAATAAGGTTCGAAGAGGATTGGGGCAAGCCTTCAGACGTATGGCCAACGTTCTGTATGGTGTATGCTCGAAGATTGACGTTGAATTAATTCTAAATCAGATATCAGAACTAAACAGAAACAAAGTATCCAGCAAAAGCAATATTCCGGAAAATATCAGATTCTTACAAGCAGAAGCAAATCATTCTACACAACAATTGGAATTTCAACAACAAAAGTTGGAACAAAACCTCCAGTACTTGCAAGCACAAATAGACAATACTATTCAAAACCTTAACAAATTGACGTTCCGCACCAAGGTATTGGAACAAGCATTGTTATTTGAACTAGTATTTAACAAATACGCTTACGAAACACAGAACCTTATATCCATAATAAACACAGCCTTAGATGGTAAAATCCACACTAGCGTATTTACTCCACAGCACATTATTAAAGAACTTCTTGAAATTAAGGCAGACTTGCCGATTGGAAATACTTTTCCATTGGAAGTAAATACAGAATCTCTTAATGATATTCTCAGAATCTCTGAAAAAACTATATTCTTTAAAGATAAGTTATCTTATCTATGTAATAGAAATTCCACTAATTTCCAGTGAAGAATACAATATATACCACCCGATACCTTTACCTATAATCCACAGTGAACAAAATATTTTCTTAGTTGACCCTGAAATAGATTATTTAGGTGTGACCAGAGACAACGAAAACTTTATCACTTTAGATAAAGAAAAGTGGGAAGAATGTATAACATTAAAACCCTATAAACTTTGTAGAGGTAATCAGCATATCCAACATTGTGCAGGAGCGATAATGTGTAGTTTCATTACTAGTCAATAACCAATTTGACCCAGACCATTGCAAATTCAAATTCATTTCCTTAACAACCCCTATATGGCATCAGTTGGAGCAAATTAACTCATGGATCTATTATACCCAACCGGAAGTAGGTACCATCACTTGCACAAAWTCAATAGAAAATTCCAAGATCAAAATTGAGGGAGTAGGCAGAATAACTATACTCCCATCTTGCAGAATTAATTTCAGAAACTATATTAATTTCTAATAATAAAGCTAGTAGGGATATTGATTCAGATATTATACCAGAAAATGCTAGGAATTAACCGTTACGCACGTTTTCAGACATGGTCAGAACAATTATTCCTCAGAACCTCACTAATAAAATCTTAATTCAAAATTTGAACCAACTAACTAATAAAGCAGTTGAGTTAAATAAACTTTAACATACCGTAAAGGAGCCTTCGTTACTTTTCAACATTGAAATTTATGGTATTATCATTTGTATTATTTTAACACTAACAATATTAACAATATTACATTAAGTTTTAAATTAAGAAAAAATGTCACAAAAATATATAACCCTAAAATACCAGAAGCAGAACAGTCTAATGGTATTCAGGAAGACACCAAAGTGTAGTGTATTTTCTTTTATTATTATCTTCATTTTTATTGTCAAACTGAACTGATTCCCAAATCACAGAAAATTCGAAACTTTACAGAAACTTTTAATTTGATTTAAATAAATACTCGTACATTCATTATTTAATATAAAATTGGTGCGTACGTTTATTTTGTGTTGTGCGTAAAAACCATAACACAATAGAGAATAATTGTAATGTTGCTTGTAGAAAATATGTAGACTGAAGGATATAGGTATTCGCACAATCTCACTATAATATTTTTAGTTATTTTAGGAATAATGAATTAAGAGTTATTGGTGACGRAGAAAACAGCCAACTGAGCCWACCTAAGCGGGCTGCTGCTGTCTGCTGTCTGCTTTATAAGYAACAGCGYWWCGCACACAAAATACAAAAATCAGCAGCAAATAAATAYGTCATAACTCATAATATTTTTATTATTATTTTGATTAATAATCTATTAAACGGTCATCTCGTTATCAGTGYCTTTGCTTTAAACAGCTGCCGTTGGTCGAGACAACACTGTTTATTTTGGTATTGCCAAATATGGAGTGTTTGTCCGCGTAGCTGCAGCAGACAGCAGTAAATAAGCATTACAGTATTACAGTCACAGTGCGTAGGATTYCCAGCATCTGCCTGGCCATTCACACCAATCTAGGCCAATTTCCTGGTKCGATTTCTGTCCGYGTGTCCAGAGGTTTCGTTCAYATAATCGATGGAAGACATATTCCAGTGGTGCCGTGAAGGCATCACCATGCAAGTGCGGGTTTGGCTCGATGAYACTGAACACGACATGAACCAYGGGTGAGTTAAATGTTGAACATTCCTCTGCGGTAAGGTGGGAGGAATGTGATGATCATCAGACATTTTTACTCTTTGCTGTACGTTTCTAGGGACGATCACGGATTCRGTCCGTTGCACTGGGCTGCCAAAGAAGGCCATCTGAAGATCGTCGAGATGCTGGTGCAGAGGGGCGCCCGCATAAATTCTACGAATCGATAGAATGATACACCTCTGCACTTGGCCATGGCCCATGGTCACCATGAAATCGTTCATCTGGTGTGTGTCTAACTATTTTGTTGCGTCTACAAGTTTCTATGTTTGATATTGATATGAAGTATAATAGCYAAGGTAGTGTTTCTTCGTGTTTTAGTTGTTGAAAAACCGAGCAGACATTCATTTTACAAACGAAYACGGTAACACTCCATTACACTACGCTTGCTTCTGGGGCTATGAAGCAATAGYCGAAGAACTTATTGAAAATGGTGCATTRGCTGCTTTGGCTAATAAAGACGGAGACACTCCRCTAGACAAGGGAAAAGGACCAATTTTAAAACATTTAAAAGTTATTGAGTACTATTGTTGGTAAATGCATTTTTCTWACTATCTTAACTGATAACATTAAAAAGTAAAAACAAATTTATTACAGATTTAGCCTTGCAATCTGGACAAGATCTTACTWAAATCAATTTTAAGGATCAAAGTTGGTTAGGTTTGAAAASGAGAAGCAGTAAGTTAATTTATTATCACAATATTTTTAAGTACAACATATTTATTTACTGTTATAAATTTAAAATAAGTTATGTGTTAAACTTAGTTTACCCATATTTATTTTGCTGATGATTTTTNTAAATTTATATTCAATTATTTTATAAATTGTTTAGGAGATGCTACATTATCACGACATAAAGGAATAAACTTGAGTGATCTTTACTTGCACACAAAAATGGCTACTTCACCCAGTGGAGAAACATGGCGTGGYCATTGGCAGAAGAATGACATTGTTGCCAAAGTGTTGRCCGTTCGACAATGTACTCCTCGAATTTCCAGAGATTTTAATGAAGAATTCCCAAAACTGAGGTAATAATTTTCAAATTGAWYGTTTATTTTCATACAATTATTTTAATAAATTAATTTTCCTTTTGTTTGTAGAATATTCKCACACCCAAATGTGTTGCCAGTGATTGGATGTTGTAACTCCCCTCCTAATTTGGAGGTTATTAGTCAGTATATGCCTTGGGGCTCGCTCCATACTTTATTGCATGAAGAAGCGACAGTTACAGTGGACACAGCCTTAGCACTTAGAYTCGCAGTARATRTTTCTAGGGATATGGCGTTTTTGCATAGTTTAGAAAGGATTATACCACAATTTCATCTTAATAGTCATCATATAATGGTATATTTAATTTTAAGATTTTTGTTTAATTAAATTCATGTGTGCTTATTATTATTAATCCATAGATTGACGAGGACCTTACAGCCAGRATAAATATGGMWGATGCTAAATTTTCATTCTAAGAAAAGGCAAGGGTATACTATCCTGGATGGATGGCTCAAGAGGGTAAATATTTGGATTTAATATAATTTTCTTCCATTAGATATTTGTGACATTTAAAGTATCCTAAATATAATGATATTGTTAATTGTTATACAAGTATATATAAAAATTGTTAAGTTGTGTTTCTTGTTATTTCTAGCTTTACAAAAAAAAAAACAAATTGATACTAATTTTGAAGCTGCGACATGTGGAGTTTTTCTATTCTTCTATGGGAATTAGCTACTCGAGAAATTCCATTTTCTCACTTATCGCCAATTGAAATAGGGATGAAGGTATGGTTTTTATTATTTCTGTATTATAAATACTTAACTATATCAGTTTTATTTTTAGGTGGCTTTGGAGGGTTTAAGAATGTCTATTCCATCTGATATTTCGCCACATATCACCAAACTTATTAAAATATGTTTGAATGAGGATCCAGGAAAGAGGTCAACTTTTAACATGGTGCTTCCAATTTTG